GGCTCCGTGCCCTGGGAATACTTTTGCACCACAGCCCCGATGTCGAAGCCGTCGCGCAGCTTCTCCTCCACGGCCTTCTCGATCTGCTCGGCGTCTGAGAAGTCGAGGACGCCGGGCACGGCGTCGGCACACTGCTCCGTGTCTTCCACGCGTTGCTTCCGCGCAAGGACCCGCAGCTAGGGGGCCACATGCGAACCCTACCCCTACCCCCCCACGATTTCTGAGGGGAAGGGCGGGGTTCACTTTGCTCGGGAGCTCCCGAACGAAGTGAACCCCACCCTCCCCCTCAGAAATCGTGGGGGGTTAGGGGTAGGGTTCGCATGTGGCCCCCTCAATTGATTGTGCGGCACTCCCGACGCGATGGGCAGCTGCATCTCGAGTCCGGGAGGGGGCCCTGCCGCAAGGAGGCCGGCCAGCCGGTCGTTGGCCTCCCGGAGCCTGCGCGCGTGGGCCGCGCGAGCTCCGGCGCGGCAGCGGGCGTGTCGCGACGCCGTTGGGGCCGCATTCCGAAGGGCGGCACGCAGGAACGCCATCATCCCGCGCGGATATCGGTGGCTGCCTCTCGCCTGGGCTTAAGTCGGGCCGGCCCCTCTACAGGGGGAACATTCAAAAATAGTCAAAACATACTCTGGGAGGACGATTGTTTGATCATTTTGGATTCTGTTTGGAGTATGTGTTGAGTATATTTTATTTTTCGTCCAGACACGCCCGACCTGAGCCTGGGGCGGACCAGGCCAGGCACCGGCGCAAGTCGGCCACGGAGGGCCTGCCTGAGCCCTGAACCCCTGGACCTGGCCAGAGGCGCAAGCTTGAGCCAGGAGGAGGAGGAGGAGGAGGAGGAGGAGGAGGAAGAGGAGGAGGAGGAGGAGGAGGAGGGAGGGATGGAGGGAGGGGGGGAGGGAGGGAGGGCGGAGGAGGCGGAGGACTTCATCTCCTGAGCCTCTGGCGCGGCCATGGGATGACCACCCTGAGGGCCGACGGGTCGCGGAGGCACCCAGCAGACGGAGAGCGGCAGCGCTCGCCCATGTCAAGGCGGAGAGAGCCTGCAGGCCCCTGCCATGACAGGGCGCCTGGAGCGGGATACATCGTTCTGCGCAGTAGCAAAGCACGCGAGCTTGGTATACCCTCTTAATTCTGTCTTTAGCGTCGATTCCGCGTTGATTAGCGTCGATTCGCGTCTGGGGGTCGACGAGACAGCGCCGATTCAGCGTCGGCTGGCGTCGATGAGCGTCGGTTCATCAAGGGAAGAAAAACTATCCGGACCCGATCCTTGGCGTTTGCTAAACGGCCCTGGGCGTCTACTAACAGCCTTGTCCTGTTCGATTCCTTCTGTGGGCCGACTTCGCGTGTCGGGTGGTTATTATGGGGGTGGATTTTTGGACCTCTAGTACCCTCTTAATTCCGTCTTTAGCGTCGACTAGCGTCGAGTAGCGTCGATTAGCGCCAAGAGTCGACGAGATAGCGCCGATTTGGCGTCTGCTGGCGTCGATTAGCGTCGATTCAGCGTCGAATAGCGTCGCCTTAACATCGATCAGCGTCTAATCGCAAGAGCCGACGAGATGGTGTGGGAGGCTCCCATGAGCTGCCGCCGAGGCGCTGCAGCTCGGCGGCCAGCCTGGGGGACATGCGAGGGGGCAGGCCCTATCGGAAGGCGGCGGGAGGCTCCTCGGGCGCCCTCGCGCCTTTGAGGAGGCTTCTGGACCTTCCCCGACGACGCAGACGGTTTCCCAGAGGGCGCGAGGGCTTTTGAGAAGCCCCCCCCCCGCCCGGTTGCTGAGTAGGCCTGTCCCCTATTGCTTCCCCCCTCGGGGCTCGCCGCCGAGCAGCAGCCTCCGTGGGAGGCGTGTTCGGTCTGCCCTGGCCATCCTCCTGGTCCTCCTCCTCCTCCTCCTCCTCCTCCTCCTCCCTCCGCCTCCTCGCCCTCCTCCTCCTTCCTCCTTCTCCTTCTCCTCCTCCTCCTCCGCCTCCTCGCCCTCCTCTCCCTCCTCCTCCTCCTCCTCCTCCTCCTCCTCTCCTCCTCCTCCTCCTCCTCCTCCTCCTCCCCCTCCTCCCTCCTCCTCCTCCTCCTCCTCCTCCTCCTCCTCCTCCTCCTCCTCGTCCTCCTCCTCCTCCTCCTCCTCGTCCTGCGGACCCCGAGCCCCTTCAGTTCAGCGGGCCTGCCCCCTCGAGGAGCACCGTGCGGACCTGGGGTGGAAGGCCGTGAGCTTCTTCTCAGCACACCGGAGATCCCGGGGTTGAGCAGCCCTGCCCTCCTGGGCCCGCGTGTCGGGCGGGCAGTACGGGGGGGTGGCCCGGCCCTAAAGGGGCCCCTTTAGGGTCCCTTTCGGAGCCAGTTGGTGCCCCAATGGGGCCCTATGATAAAGGGCCCCTTTTAAGGACTTTCTCTTCGCCCCCCCATGTGGGTCATCCCCATGTACCACCCGCCCGAGCCCTCCTGGGCCCGCGTGCTGTTCCTTGGAGGGGCATGGCGCCGAACCGAAGCAGCTCGGGGTCCGTACGCCCTCCCCCCTGCCCCTTCCCTCCCGCTGCTGCTGCTGCTGCTGCTGCTGCTGCTGCTGCTGCTGCTGATGATGATGATGATGATGATGATGATGATGATGATGATGATGATGATGATGATGATGATGATGATGATGATGATGATGATGATGATGATGATGATGATGATGATGATGATGATGATGATGATGATGATGATGATGACTGGCATCTCCTTATCTCGGTGCCGATCTTGAGGGCTCCCTCAGTCCCTCTAGGCCTCCTCCTCCTCCTCCTCCTCCTCCTCCATCCCATTATTCCTCCTCTTCCTCCTCCTAGTTCCTCAGTTCCTCTAGGCCTCCTAGATGGGGTCCGAGTGGATGGGGTCAGAGGATCGCGGTGCATCGCCGATGCATCGCCGATGCGGCTCGTTGTGGGGCCCCATTTGCTTCACGTCGACGTCGCCGATGCATCGCCGACGTGGACGATGCATCGGCGATGCACCGCCGAAGCATCGCCGATGCATCGCCGATGTATCGTCGATGCGGCGCGATCCTCCGACCCCATCTACTCCGACCCCATCTAGGAGGCCTTTATGAAGGCACACCCCTAAGACTGTCATCGCCCTGGGCTTGCTGGTCTCACTCAGGAGTGTGGGTCCGCTCGCTGCTGGTCAACATCGTCTCGGCCCCAGCATCCGCACCGCAGGCGCTCGCGCCCCACACCCGCAGTCCGGAGCCGCTCCCTCGCGCAGGGGTCGCCCGAAGCGGCGTTTTGGCGACTTCGTGAGCCGTTGTCGTTTCGATTTCGTCCCGCAGCAAAGGTGGATCGAAGACAGAACGAGGCAAAACGAGAGCAACACGAAAACGAGAGCCGAGGCAAAACGAGGTACAACAAGGCAAAACGAGGTACAGCGAGGCACCATGCAACGAAACACGAGGTAGAGCGAGGGAAAACGAAGACAGCACGAAAACGAAAAGCGCTGTTCGGGCCGATCCCTGCCCTCGCGGCCACCTCCCCCGGCCCGCCGCACCATGGCGCCGCGCCGCCCTGGCCGTGCCCTCCTGGCCGCCGCGGCCACGCTCTCTGCCGCCTGGGTGGCCCGCACCGCGTTCGTCCCTGCGCCGCAGGCGTCTCCGGCGCCCCCAGGTCGCCATGGGTCAGGAGGGAAAAAAACACAGACACAATTAATCGTCGATTCCCCAGAAAATATGGGAAAATATGGGAAGTGGGGGGGAAGGCAAACTTCCAGAAAATCGGAGGTTGGGGGGTGAGATCGAAGTGGAACGGAGAGCCCCCCTACCGGGAAATCGATTTCGGTTTCGTGTTCGTGCGTGCCGTGCGTGCGGGCGAGGCGAAGCTGCGTGGGCGGGCGAGAGGAAAGTCTCCTGTGGCTGAGGCGCGGCCGGACCAAATGATTCTCCACCGGGGCGCGGGGCCGCGCGGTGTCCCGCCGGTGTCCCGGTGGTGTCCTCTGTGGCTGAGGCGCGGCCGCACCAAATGATTCTCCACCGGGGCGCGGGGCCGCGCGGTGTCCCGCCGGTGTCCCGGTGGTGTCCCGTCGGTGTCCCGTCGGTGTCCCGATGATGATGTTGATGATGATGATGATGATGATGATGATGATGATGATGATGATGATGATGATGATGATGATGATGGATGATGATGATGATGATGATGATGATGATGATGTTGATGATGGCGATGATGATGATGATGATGATGATGATGATGATGATGATGATGATGGTGTTGATGTTGATGTTGATGTTGATGTTGATGATGATGATTATGATGATGATGATGATGATGATGATGATGATGATGACGACGTCGATTGTGAGATCGATTGTGATCGGAGGTTGGGGGGTGAGATCGAAGTGGAACGGAGAGCCGGGAAATCGATTTCGGTTTCGTGTTCGTGCGTGCCGTGCGTGCGGGCGAGGCCCCGTGCACCCACCAGTACAGGCTAGGCTTTGCCAGCCGCTCTCTCCGAGCGCGCCCCGTTCCTTCGGACGGCCGCGCGGGCTCGCCGCCGCGGCTGGAAGCGAATCGAAAAACTGGGGCGTCTGGGCCCGTGGAGTTGGGCCGTCTACATAAAAAGGGATACGCCAAGAGGACGCCGGCGCGGGCTCCTGGGAGGGGTTCCGGTTCCGTTTTGAGGTTGGCGCCGAGGTTCGGTCGAGGTTTCCTGGCCCTCGGAGGCCCTGCTCGCCGCCGCGGCTGGAAGCGAATCGAAAAATTGGTGCGTCTCGGCCCCTGGAGTTGGGCCGTCGACATAAAAAGGGATACGCCGACAGGATGCTGGCGCGGGCCCCTGGAGTCGTCGTTCGCCGTCGTTGTTGGAGTCGGCGTCGGTACGTCCCTGCAGGTGCATTTGGGAACTCCTGAATCATTCCCGGGGCCTTGTTGTATCATCATGCCGTGCTGTATGCTGTGCCGGCGTTGACGCCGTCAGACCGCAACCCATCACGGTTCTGTGTTCGGAGAGTTCCCGCGGACCTTTGGCCGGTCTCGCGGCCATGGCCGCCGCCGCCCGCATGCTCAGACATGCGCTGCCTGTGTCCCAGGGCCAGGCTTTGCCAGCCCCAGGGACAGAGGCACCCTACGCGGGCTCGCGCAGACTCGCGCAACGATACGAGTACAAGGGCACTTCTTTTTCGGGCATGGTGGAACTCCATCCTCAGCGCCTGCTGACTCGGGAGGAGTTCAAGACGAACTTGCTGGCAGCACCAGGCGTGCCGAAGGTCTCTGTGGTTCCAAAGATGTTTGTGGCCACTCGGCGTTTGGGTTGGCCATTTGGGATTTCGGGGGTCTTCGGGGGCCTCCTTGGGAGGAGCCATCTTGAGCCATCTCCGGTTATCTTGAACCATAGTGGAGGCCATATGGGGTTCCCCGGGAATGCTTACGAGGGTGACGCTCAGGTCCTGGACAAGAGTTCCAAGACCTCGCAAGGCAACCGAGGCGACCACGTCTTCGAGCAGAACCTGGAAGTCCACCTGCACCGCGAGCCCCATGTAGCTCTGGAGTTCGAGATCACGCGGGACAACCACATGAAGCACATGGAGGGGCGCCCTTACACTGAGACAGCGATGTTCAAGGACCCCCCTCGAACGGCATCACGCGGCGGCGTGGCGCGTGCTCTTGTACGCCGTCAAGGGCCGGGAGCTCCTTCCACAGCATGCCCGCGACTACTGCAAGAGCTGCCTGACGAGACACGGTACCTGGGAAGACGACGTGTGCTCCCAGAGGGCCTGGATGGGGATCCCGCTTGCGCCAGGCTTTGCCAGTCCTGCGGGGTCTTCCAGCTCTCCGACGCAGGCACCAGGCCTTCCAACAGCGCCAGGCCGTGCCAGCTCTCCGACGCAGGCACCGAGTCGCAAGCCAACGTTCCCGTATCCTTTTCCAGAACGCTCCCGCGATGCCCGGGGGCCAGGCGACCGCCTCTGCGGCGCGGGTGGAACCCTGCCCCACCGAGTCGGCCTCTATGAGTCAGGGTGGCCGCGGGGTCCCGCTTGAGCCAGGCTTTGCCAGTTCTGCGGGGGTGGGGGCTTCGATAAATCAGGGCGGCGCGACCAGGCCTCCTGCCAAGAAGAGTAAAGCGGCGCCCGGGGGTGCCGCGATCGCCCCTGCGGCGCAGGTGAGCGGGGGGGCGCGTCAGGCCTCCTGCCCGGAGGGCCTCAACTACTGCGAGGCTGGGGTCACGGAGCTGAGAGCGTTCGAGCGGGACGGGGACATCGCATCGTTGGTCAAGGCCCAGGACCTTCTGCTCAAGGGGATCGAGCGCATCTCGGACGTCTTTCCTAAGGGGCGCGATTTGGACGGCACCGAGTACGAGACGCTAGGTGCGGAGTTCAACCGCTTCGTGGAGATCGCGGAGGATGCGCGCGTGCGCATGCGGACCGAGTTGGAGGCGGCAAGGAGGCCAGCGGGCGGGGGGCAAGCGGTGGCAGGCGAAGCCCAGGGGTCGGGGCCAGGCTTTGCCAGCCCGGCGACCCAGGGGCAGAAAAACGAGGACAAGGCGGATGCGGAGAAGACGCCGCCAGGGTTCGACCCCGAAGCCGATTGGGCAGAGGATGCGGCAGACGTGCACCAGTTCGACATCGCGGCTGACCTGCGCGAGGAGCTGGCCGAGAAGCCCGATGGGGGCCCGGCCGCCGCCCGTGAGTCCAGGGAGGTCCGCGCTGCACTCGGCGCCGAAGTTCCCCCCATCCCGGATTTTTTGAAGCTTGCGCAGGGTCAGCCGATGGCCAGCAACGCCGCCCTGGAAGATGTTCGTGCTATGAAGAGTCGCGGTGTGGAGCGCGTGCGGTGCCGAGTCATCGACGGGCCCGACGATCCCGAGGTGCAGGACAACATCGACAGCATGCGCCGCGAGGCCTGGGAAAAGCACGAGGAGCGTCGGAGGACATGTGCCCGCGGCGTGGACACGCGGGACATGTTCTTGGGCAGCGAATTGGTGTGCGTCAAGCTGGTCAGTGCCGGCGCGGTGCCCATGACTCCGAACGAGTTTTTGAATGCGGGCAGCGAATTGGTGTGCGTCAAGCTGGTCAGTGCCGGCGCGGTGCCCATGACTCCGAACGAGTTTTTGAATGCGGCGTCTAAGAGGTCTCTCTGCGTCAAGGATCTGTCGCGGCCACCTCCAAACACGCAGGCACGGGAGGGCCGCTTGCGCATGCTCGCGCTGCGGGAGCATTACCGAGAATCCACAATTCTGGCGCGTGCAAGGTGGTTACACCGTGGGGCGACGCCCGGAGGGGCGGTGCGAGTGCGGCCGGTGCGGGTCCGAGCTCTTCGCCAAAGCCGTCGACGCACAGGCCCAGCGCGAAGCCGCCGCCGTGAACGAGGGCGAGGACATCAACCCACAGGTCTACATGCCCGCCAGGGCCCGCCAGTGGAGCAGGGTATGCGTTCCGTGCGAGGCGGTCGAGACGCACGAGTGGCGTCGGCAGAGCCCCGTCACGACGCTGGGGGAGCTCTTCTGGGACATGGGCCGGACGCGCACGGCCAAGGCCATCTACGCCTTCTACAGGGCGCTCCGGCTGGTCGCGTTGAAGAGGGGCAGGAACAGTTCCACCGAGGCGAGCAGTGCGCCAGGCTTTGCCAGCGCATCTCGGCCAGCCGGGTCGGCAGCTGCTTTCGGTTTCACAGGGTCCGACCTCCAGGCGCCCCGCATCCGCGCAGATTACTCGTGCCCGGTGACCGACCGCGAGGTGCTCGTGGAGGACTGCATGGGGGCGGTGGGCTTGTCCACGGCGTGCGTCAGCTCCAAGACCAAGCAAGAGTTGCTGGACGAGGCTGCGAAGTGCGTGACGTTGGTGTTGCTTCGGGACATGCGCCCGCCGTGGCTGGATCACGTGTTCCCCCAGGCCTTGCCAGGGGATGGCTTGTTGTCCAAGTTCACCA